AATTACAATGTTATCACACAATAAAAAGTAGGTAAATAACGCCACGTGTTGAGTCAATGCAATGTCCATATCAGATTAATTTTAGTTCTAAAACTAAATCACAACTAACTCTCTTACGATCGACATCTTTTGCACTTTTTTCCTACGACAGTTAATTGTACTGGTACACCGATGGTCGGTTTTAACCAAGAATTTCCTTTCTCAGAAACAACTTTAATATGTGAAACTACAGACTGATATTGAAACATTTCTATCGTTTCGCAAAATAATTCGTAGAGCAAACAATTTGCTATTTTCATATTCCATCTCCCCGGTTCAAAAAGCTGGCGCATTTTAAACAGATAGACAAATATAGCGGAAGCGTATCGACAATAAAGGAAGAACGTCCATGTCAATTTATATTGTTTGTAGCAATTTGCTCCTAGTTGATTTCGAATATATACGGAAAGTGCAAGAATAGCGGAAAACTATAAAACAGAAAAAGGCTTGGAGTTTTATAATATTTGGCTTTTATTTTTTATTCACTATTATCTACAAGAGTTACTTCCTGAAACGCATTTCTCCTCAAATTACGTTCTAAAACTGGCAATGTCAACCAAAATAGGATTTCGCTTTGCCGCATTCAGACGCGTGCATGTTTATACCCGACACGGCAAAGTGTTATGATATTTTCCTGGAATTATCTTGCATTGTGTATCTATCCAAGGGATTAAATGACGTCTCATGCTTTGCCAGTGCGGCTGTAATTTTATTCCGTCGAACTGGTATTTTGCTAGTTGCAAAATAATTATCATTCTAGTAGCGTATGGAATATGGAAAATTAGTACAATGTAAAGTGGAATTATAGGTTCAGTTGATACGATGTACAAAAAGGGCCAGCGGTAATATAAAATCAGGGTAAATTTGCTTTACAGTGACAGATTTACGAGCCTCGACGAGGGTTGAAAAGTATATCGATGTTTAGTAAAATGAAGGGAAATTTACGAATTGCTCTTGGGAATAACATATGGAAAATTTCTCCCAATACAAAAATTGTTCTTGAAATCTCCAATCATTTCTTAGCAAATTTGATCACTTGACTTGGCTAATATAACCGTTGATTGAGCCTGTTTAATTGGAATTGTGAAAAAGTATTGAAAATTTTGTTAGTTTGGGCGGTCTTTATTGAAGTTCTCAACATGAAAAAGATTTAAATTTCAACATTTTGGAAGGTAGGTAGGTAAATTTAGGAAAAATTTGTTACGGGATGATTTTTCCTGGGCCAAAATAAAAGGAAATAAGCGTATTCGCCTCATTGAACAGCATACCTTCGTCGAGCCACTGTTTTCTTTCCAATAGTTGTGGCCACACTTTTTCTTCAAACTTTTCATTTTTCCAAGAAACATCGAGTTAGAGGTTGAATAATGGAATTAATTTCCTTTTAGTAGGGTTAAAATAAATAGTCAATCAATTTATTAATAAATAAAATCACAATATTTATATTGGAACAGCTGATTGTCTGATCCGATTAAATTGACTAGATTGACAGCGCTCCAAATAAGGTCAATAACCGGTACTAACTTAATTTAAATAAGTCCCATGCCCCAACTACCATCAAAATTCCCCAGAACCTTTCACCTTGGAGTTTTGACAGAACCTTTTTAAAGGACATTGAAGGGACAAGCAGAGGTCATTCAGGTCGAGGACTTTCCACGATTAAGTGTTCAGTAAAATTCCTCAGGCACATTTTGCCGATTTCTGAGTTGTTTAGTTTTCGCTCATAGATCTAGGGTGGCTAATCCGTTCTTTTAGCACCAAAGCGCCTTGCGCGGATTTCTTCGTGAGCCGAAAAAGAGCAACGTGATCATTTGTTTGTTCCTAAAGGCCAAAGTATTTTGGTAAGTGGTTTTTCTTATTTGTCTTCTCTGTGTGTCTCTATTTCCTATGTAAAAGCATAGTTTTCTGTTAATTATATGGTTAAATTCCGAATATTGGACATACATACCTATCGCTCCATGCCCAGTCTCATAACGTCCATTTGTTTCAGGCCTTATTTAGTCGTCACGGTTTAGTCCTAACTTTGAGTAAAGAGTTAACCGTTAAGCTTACTGTATATTTCAAGTCGTACCTCCTATCTTCAGCCTCCTCTAGACAATTGGAAGCTTTAGTGACTCCTAGTTACTGAACCTCAGTCCCAGGCCATCAGAAACACTGAAAGATATCAATCTAATCCTTCAGGTTCGCCTCAAGGGATTAAGGACTACTCAGGTTTGATAAGTGTGTTGTATTGTCTTAATATCTGGAACCTTTCAAACTTTACCAACTCCTTGTTGGAATAAATCACCACAGCAACGCAGTCTTCTACAATATTAAATTTGCCCTTCAGGTTTTTGTTATTTCAATTTTAATTATTTATCTATATTACCTATATTATTCCATAATATTAAATTCGCCCTTCAGGTTACGTATTGTTACTTCAACTTTAATAATTATTGATCTATTTATATCTATCTAAAGCCTGAATCTCATGCATCCGTTTTCCGATGAAAGATGTCCGAACAATCTTCTATTCTGATATAATCGTATGAAAATATGTTAAAATAGAAAATCTTTCGTCGGAAAACGGATGCATGAGACTCCGGCTTAATACCCCATAAATACATGCTGCACTGAATACAGGAAAATACTTATACACTGGGGTTAAATGGCCATTTACGAAGCTACCGCATTTAGTAAGCTTGTCTATTAATTTATATTTCAGGTATTATTGCTGTTATAAATGTTATAAAATACACTTTATTTCTTTATTTAGGGACTCAAGTTGAGTGTAATTATTGTAAATACTATTTTTAGAACGTAAAGTCAGGTACTCCTAGTCGATTTATTTTGTTCTTGTTCTGGTTCTAGTGTTAATAATTTTTAGTGTTCCAGGGCTTTCGGAAAACCCACTCCGAACCTACTCTAGAGTCAAACCTGTTCTGGTTCTAATTAAAAACCCGTACCTGATTGTAGCAAAGCGTTTCACTTCTGTCCGTCCTTCTTGTTTACTTTTATATTTCAGGTTGTGCTGCTATAGGTCCGTAGAAGTTTCCTGCTTTCGTTATATGGGTTGACTTCGTGTACTGCAGGGAAAAGCAGGTGGCGCTCTATATTTAATTATTTAATTGATCCACACACCTCTCCGCATTGGAAGCTAGTCGGCAACCCTTCACACGAAGTCCCGCTTCTAGATTTAAGCCACCGACCAACCCTCTCTTTCTCTGTCTAATTTTTTTTTGTTTTAGTTACCCATTCTCATTCACTGTCTCACTTCCTCAAATTTTATTATTTACCTTTCAATCGTGGTTTGACGGATAACAAATCATATATCTAATTATTTCATAAATGAGAATCTGAAACTTTCAGAAAGTCTTATTCTAATGAAAGACAACAAGCTCTGAAATTTAAGCTAATTTGGAATTGCAGTTCTACAGATACAACTAGTAATGCCTCGAGACGAGGCAAGACAAGAATACGCTCTCTCATCTTGTCTTAAAGGTTCGAGAGAAAATGAGGTTCTCGTCTGTACGAGAGACCTTCGATACGAGACGAGACAGTTCCTCTCTCGTTTCGTCTCGCCTCTTGTGAATGTTTCCCTTCGAATATAAAACTAGTGGAATTATTCCACTGATAACATTATTCGCAGGACTTAGTGCATTGAGTAGTCTCGCTGGAGGTGCATCTGTAACATCTCAGCATGGAAATATTTAAAATTTCCACATTTCATATACAGTGTGTTTCAAAAGTCTGGGAGGGTCAAATATTTCCAGGGCGGCTTGAAATAGAATCACGAAATTTTCTGCATATGGGGGGGTTTTGAAACAGGATTTTTGTTCAAAGGTCGGCAATGGACAAATTATTTCCACAATGGGTTAAAAATTATAATTACAAAATTGAATCCGGCAGCAATAATTACTCCTCTGCAGAAAATTTCGTAATTCTATTCTAAGGCGCTCTGGGGAAATATTTGACCGTTCCCAGACTCTTGAAACATACTGTATAATGTACCCCAAATAAATATGTGTCTATTGTGAAACTTCTGTTACTCTCCTAAGTTGACACCCGGGTCCTTTGTGCCTCTCAATCAAGACAGTTACAATCCGACGCACGGTTTTCACCTGACAAATAGTCAGGAAGAAAAGGTCTTTCATTTTATCGCATAATATACGGGGTGTTCCATTTAAAAAAGTTGAAGTTGCCTAAGTTTCTCCATTTTCCGATCGATTTTGTTTTTTCTAATACCGTTTAAAGAAAATATGGAAAAAAAACTGTCAAGTTTTGTATTGAAAATGTTTTTCTATCTTAAATAGTAAAGGCTGTAGGTATGGGTCCAAATATAATCAAATACCCTGTACATTGGGGCCTTGTTGAATCTACTAACATTTTCTTACCCTGACGAGCGAATATTCTGGGAAACAAATTGAAAAATCAATCTTGAGATATTGGCTCAAAATAACAACTATAGCTGGAGTAGCCTCCCGTAACCAGGGACCTCAATACCTGCTGGTGGAACTGGCTAACTAACCAAAAACTCTTCAGTATTGAATATAGGTAGTGTTGATTGAATGTAGTGTGTGGAATTGAAGTTCAAGCACAAGAACAGGGGCGGTACCTAATTTATACTACACTACCTTCCAAAATGTTGAAATTTCAAACTTTTCCATGTTGAGATTTCAACTTCAAATGATCATTTGAGACAAAATTTTCAATGCCCTAGGATTTTTCAAAATTTTAACCAAGGCTCAATTAACGGTCATATAAGCTCAATGAAGTTGACGACAGGTTACAGCCATAAAATTTCGAAGATCGAGCTCTCTTAATCACTAGATGTGTTCATGTGTGATTTTTTTCTTGTAGAGCTACCCCGGGAGTGTAGTTTCAAAGACAAGCTAAAACATAACTTTCTGATAATAATAATTCAGATTACTTTTTTTTGACTTTTGAGTAATCCTGGTATTTAACATTGATTTTTCTATTTGCAGGATTCCTCCGTACAAAATCCAGTATCGAGTCCAACGCTTCGGACAGTAGTAATTTCGGAGTGAAAGACGTCGCAGCCGCTCTACGTTGGGTTGAAACGAACATAGCGGCATTCGGAGGCGATCCGAATCGTGTCACGTTGGCCGGACACGATACCGGAGCCGCCCTGGCGAATTTGCTATTTCTTTCGCCGACTTCAAAAGGTAAGATTTTCGATTACTATGTTTAATTGAAATTCGACGTTTCTCGAGGCAAAGGGAAATGATTAAGATGTCTTTCGAGAGACGTTATAATATAAATTGAAGCGATACAGCTAAAGGCAAGGGGAATCGATACGGAATAAATCGTTTCCTTCTATTGTCATCTCATTAATTCTGTTAATTAATCTGTTGGAATTATTAAGGATTCTTGCGAGATGTATGATATCGTTGCGAAATGTCTGTTGTAATATCTTCATTTTCATTAAATAAATTTGGTTCATTTTTCAATATGTTATCGAGATTTAAAAATTGCCAAATTAAAATCTGAAATGCCACCTATTATAGGATTTTGTGGGTATCAGTAGTGCATGAAAATTTTTGAAAACTGCAATTTAACCCTGACTTATTGAAGCTCAATTGGATTAGAAAGTAGAGTGAAAGTGAAAGAACCGGTTGACAGAATATCGATAAGGCTGAACATCAATTTTGTCGTAACTAGGTAAAATTTCAATGTGCCACTTTCGAAAAGTTTAACTATAAGTTAGGTACAATAGAAAAACACATGTTATCGAAAAGCCCCATATAACGGCTTAATAAATCTTGAATTGTCGAAACTACGAGGTTGTTTACAAAAAGCGAAATTACAATTTCATCAGCTTTTCATTCTTCTTTTTCCCTCGTTTTCGCAAATCGATCGTCCCATATTGTCATCTATTAATTTTCCGCGGCGTTAGTTTTTCTCTTCTTTTTTCTTTCACGTAGATCTATTTTTATCTGGACGCGATTTACTGCCGCTTTTGTCTTCGCGGGTATCTTTATTAGATGTCGTACAAGCGACGTTCGTCATCGAGGTGGCTTTTTCGTGACAGGAACATGAATGATGTAGATACGTTGGAAAATTGATAGATTTGTTTCTGTCTTGTTTGCGGAATAGATATCTGAGATTTTTATTCGCTATAAACCAACTTGAATCATTGAAATATAGGTATTTATTTTTAATTACCTTTCGAATTTTCCTCTTCTCAACTGAGTAAACTGGAGCACCCTAGAAAAACTAATTTTCCAATGTAATTGCAAATGATATACCCACTTAAATTTAATATTTTCATAGTTAACATTCCTCGAATATGAAACATTTCAGATTTTAATTAAATTACTCTATCATTATTATTATTATTTTTTACAGGTCTATTTAAACGAATAATTTTGCTGAGCGGAACCGCATTGAGCCCGTGGTCCTCCCTACACAACGCAGACAGTTTGAGATTGAGTATCGGTAAGCAAATGGGTTGCTTACCTCAAGACTCTAAAGGCGACGACAGTGAAGATATCGCGGCTTGTATGAGATCAAGGTAAGAATCTAGCGTTTATGTAACCCAAAAAATTGGCATATTTTCCCCCAAAGTCAAGTACGTGGTGCTATTTAACCCCTCGAATCGCATAATCCGACGTCAGATGCAAGTAAATCCAGAATTTATAGAATCCACCCGTTCGGTTGATGCCAAGACGTTGAGCGAATATACACGTCATGCATTATTAAGTGGGTTGCTGGAGAAGCTTATCTAATGAGGTTGCGTAAATATTGTGGTGTTATTAGCGTGTGACTATAGAATGAGTATGAATATTTTATTGGATTTGAGTTAGATGAGAAGTTATGCCAAGAACTAGTGGACAAAGACTAACCGAAAGGCAAGGTAGGAATAATATTAAGATGATTGCTGTTGCACATCTCAACATGTTTTTATTCGGCCTTCATTTCTCCAATTTAAAGTTCAAAATCGCTACATCAGTAATATTCTACTACTCCTACGACAATTTGTCATACATTTTTCTAGGATAATGAACTTTTCATTACAGACTTCAACCGTAATTATTTTTTTAAATCGCCCTTGCAATGTCTAATACAACAATTACATTACATTTAATTGGCAACGATCTTTAAAAATCCGAGGACGCTGAATTAAATTATAAAACTCTCGAACTGAAATTAGAATGTTTTCCATTACCATTTAAAATGTATCTTAACTCGAACTCAAGCAATGATAATGTATACTGTAATTATATCCTACAGCCGCGATCTGAAACCATAATACGCATAAATGTTATCAACGGTGACCAAGTAAAAGAAGGCTACTGTTGCGATGCAGTAATCTTAGAAGGAGTTTACTTAGCAATTCAACCATATTTTTTATTTACCAAATGATGACTTGACATTCACTCAAGCGATTCAATGTAAAATAAATACGACTACTGATACCCCAATTCATTCCAAAATTTATAGACTTCCGAAATGAAATGAATCTGAAATTTCAAACCAAATTGGAAAAATGTCGTAACAGAAGATAATTCAACCATCTGTTTTTCCATATAATGCACCACTGTGGGAGGTACCTAAAAAAATTGATTCATCAGGACATCGCAAATGGCAGATTGTAGTCGATTTCAGACGCCTTCAATGATGTCACTGTAGGCCAAGTTCAGCCAATTCCAAATATTGACAAAATCTTAGACCAGTTAGGACATGCATCTTATTTCAAAGTTTTGGATGTAGCCTCAGGCTTCTACCAAATCAAAATGGATCCGTAAGATGCACCAAAAACTGCTATTTCTAAGCCTAATGCACATTATGAGTTTTTACGAATACCATTTGGTCTTAAATGTGCACCAGCAGTATTTCAAAGATTAATGAATACAGCCCCCATTCTAATTCTAAAATTCTCCACAACATTTCCTCTAAAAATTTCAATCGTCTAGACTTCATGGAAGATAATGAAATCAGTAAAGAATTGCGTACCAATGAATTATGCCTGAACACTCAGGTAAATCTGAATAGATTGGCATACATCCCTTTGCACAGACGCCTTTAAAAGGTATGCCCTGACCATCCTTGTGTGGATTCGATGACCCAGATGTCGTTTCCCCAATGAGATTTCCTTTTCGTTCCATTCTCAAAATTTATTTTATTTACAACCTAACCTGTTTTTGCTTGGACTATATGTCTGATTCGAGGTGTCAGCTGTCTTCGGTAATTACCATGTCAAAATTAAAATTTAAAAGTCATCATGATTCGATGGGTTCTGCCCAGGGACTCCGTGTCATGTAGAATTCTACATATCGACATGATTCTAGGCAGTGCGGAATTCGATATTTTTCGATATGTCGGATTCTACATGGCACGGAGTCTTACCCCTGGTTTTCCGAACAACACACATTTTACAATTCCAAAAGTTTCGATAAAATAAGAATCTTTCTACAAAAAGTTGGAAAAGTAAGGCACAATCGACCTAAATTAATACCAATTCAACAAATTGAACCCCAAAGCCAGCTGTAAGGGAGTAATTTTACCACCTAGTTCCTTAAAATGAATTGTGATATACAGGGTGATTCAAAAGTAAGCGGCATCCTTTTGGGGGCGTATTCCTTGCATAAAAATAAGACAAAAAATTCCTATTAACATGGATCCGGAAATGCTTCCTAAGGGAGCTACGCCTTTTCAAATATAACACCTGAAAGACGTATTTTTCTCTATAACTTTGAAACCCTTTACAAATGGATTTTGAAAATTGGTGTATTTTATAAACATTTGATGGCAATTAAGATACTGAATTGGAAATTCAAAAATCTTAATCAGTGGCGTCACATACTGGGGAGGGTGAGGGTTAGAACATCCCTATTTTTTTCACCCGTCAGGTTTTTGCGATTCCGATTGAAAATTCGGAAAGTTTAGAGTTTTTTACACAGGAAAGGTGATCTTGGTTCAATTCGATACAGCGGATCGTTTACGAGAAAATTGACTTTGAAAATTTTCTGATTTGCGTATGTTTCGCAAAAAAATGACGAGTAAAAAAAATAGGGATGTTTTAACCCTCACCCTCCCCAGTATGTGACGCCACTGATTAAGATTTTTGAATTTTCAATTTAGTATCTTAATTGCCATCAAATGTTTATGAAATAGACCAATTGTGGCCAATTTTCAAAATCAATTTGTGAAAGGTTTCAAAGTTAAATATTGAAAAAAAAAAGTCTTTCAGGTGTCCTATTCGAAGGGGCGTAGCTCCCTTAGGAAGCATTTCCGGACCCATGTTAATAGGAACTTTTTGTCTTATTTTTATGCAAGGAATACGTCCCCGAAAGGATGCCGCTTACTTTTGAATCACCCTGTATATATTCTAATTTTAAAGTGTTATAACGTACGTACCTGTCCAATGTGTCGTTCCGATTTTAATGTTTATTCTCTGTACTCTACCTGATGAAGTAAGTAGGAAAGACTCACATTTTTTAAATTCCTAAATCCCTCACAAAGAAACTCAGAGCCAATCGATCTATTTACAATTTTAATGCCTTATTTTAATTTTATATATGTTTAAAGGTCTTCCTTCTGCTTCTAGGTAGCAGTGATGATGGCCTCTGTACTGATATTTTGAATTAAATTTTGCACAAAATACGCAAGTTTTATTCTTCCTCTTTTTAAAATAAAACATGTTAACACATCAGTTTATAGAGCTCAAAGTAATGGAGCCTTAGAACGCTCTGATTCCACGCTGATTCAACCTGTCATGTTTTCGTATAATACTCTAGTTCATTCAACTACAATTTCCACCATATGAGTTAGTGTTTGGCCATAAGGCAACATTACCCAATAAAATAACAAAAATAAACTCGAATAATTCGGTTCTTTTAAAAATAAAAAATAAGCCAGTTTCGTTCCACAAGGACCTATTAAAACTATTTGTTTCGGACAAAAATGAAGCTGATACATTACACGCTACGTGCTCTTTTCATAATTACGATGTGTCGCGCCCACCTATCGCATACGGAGGAGCAGGCTTATCAAATAACACCAAATAATACCCAAGCAGGCATCTTTTACCAATCTCTAGGCACGGTAAAATTATACGATGATTATTTTACTCTCCTTTCGTTTTCAAATATTTCCTTTTCCATTCATAAATTCCAAGTTGTGGAAAAAATATACGCAAAATCAAAAAACATTCTCAATTAAAATACCGCTTACTTCTAGATTAAGTTATCATTTTTACAAATTATTACCGCTTCCTGTTTTTGATCCTAAGGGCTCGATTTATACATATATTGATCCTACGTACCCCTTCCTAATCCTAAGTACGAGTAAAACTAGGTTTGCTTCGATAAAAGACCTGTATAATTGCAAGAAAATCGACGACAAGACCCAGCTATGTGAAGATTTGATAACTCACCTCCCTGCCCAGAACGCAAATTGTGAAGTGAGCCTGAAACGCAATCAAATCAAACAGATTCTCCCACGAAAACCATAAAAGCCAATTTGGAAATTTATCACAAAATTTCCCAGAATCAATGGCTCTTCATTGTCTCTTCACCTGTTGCAACAACTTTATCATGTGATGCCACCGAGAACTTTATAGATTTCACATTGACGGAATCTGGCATCTTGAAGTTAAAGCTTTATCGAAAATGTTTCACTCTTTCTACTGTTCTGTCCTCGACTTCAAACCAAACAAGCAACTTTACCCATTCCGTTCCTGACATCAACATTAATATTGACGACTGCTGTGTACAAGAAATCGAACAAATGAAGAAGATATTTATGAATCCAATTCATCTAAATAACATAGATCTATGGTTTATTTTTTTCCAAGATAGATTTTGGCATTGTCAACTTTGAAACATAAACAATGCCGCTAATGCCGCTTATTGGTCGCTATTGTAAAACTGATGTCAACCTGCAGAAACACCTCATTTTGCGACCAGTCAGGGTCAAGCGTTATTGTTTATGTTTCAAAGTTTTCAATGTCAAAATTTATCTTGGGAAAAAATAAAGTGTAGATGGATTACGTCATGCAAAGCACAAACTGGAAATGTTCGAAGAAAATTTGCAACATGAAATCAATAAACCATTTGGTTTGGATATTACCCAATCTTCAACATCATCCTATCTGTAGCAATCATCTTCATAATCTTGATTGCAATATGTTGCTGCTGTTCCAAATACTCCTCTAGCTGTAAATGGATACCTTATTTCGGCCGATTTTTCCCTGCAAAAACGGTTACACATGGAATCAGTAACTACTGTCATGATTCATCGATATCCAACAGCAACATCTTCTTGAATTCCAATGAACCTGTCAGATTTTTACAGCAAATTCCAAGAGCTCGACAAGAACCAGAAGCACTCGAGTTAAAAGCAGTTGTTGGTACCACTAATAAACTAGATGATACTCAGCAATACCGAAACTCTCTGATGCCAAGAGGGAGACGATCAATTTCCAAAGGGAAATGAAATTAATCAATCAAATCAACCTATCGATTAATTTTAACGGGGGAGGAATATGTTATATGTTATATGTTACAACGG